CTGCGGAGCCCTGGCCCTGGGTCTTCTGCACTGTTCTCACTTTCCCGGGGCTGGCGCTCCTGTCCCTTCGCCCCTACATTGACAGCCAACTCCTAGAGCAGATCTTGCTCCCCAGTCCCTCCCAGCCCGTCCCAGCCCGCCGATCCCCGTGACAGCTTTCCACACCCCGGATTCCCAGATCCCTAGTCTCAGTCCCTCTTCCTCCGTGACCCTCCTGGGATGTAGCTTCAGTTACCGACCCCTGGTTTTCAGTCATTCTCTAGTCCAGGACTCTTGTCCCTGGTTACTCCTCTTTCTTCGAAGGCAAAGAGCATCTCTAGACCCTAGTTTTCTGGCCCCGAACTCCTATCCACAGCAAACCAGAGCATCTCCCGGCCCCCCGAGGGAGTGTTGTGTCTGCTTTGTCTTCCTTCTCTCTTATTACCCGCACCTGTGTCCCGAGACCCGGCCCATTAGCCGCGCAGCTTCCCTCTCCTGGCTGTGCCTTTTGCATTTGGGCTGTTGGTTCATGCTCCAGCTCTCTCCATTTCTTCCTCTAGCTCATCGTTTGAGGTCTCTGGTTGTCTTGAAACCCTTCCCTTCTTGCCCAATGCTGGAGCTGTATGGGGCAGATCCTTTGCCCAAGCTAGTACCACCAGTGGGGAAGTGGCGCCGGTGGGAGGCTGGAAGTGAGAGGAAGATGTGGATGTGGGTGTGGATGGCATGTGCTCAGTGATACTGAAGTTTAGTCTCTTGAGTCTGACTCTGTGTCTCTATCCTGCCTCCCTCTGAAGAGTACTGATGCAGTTTTGGTGCTATGTCATTCCTGGGTGTTGTATGTAGAGATGGGAGTGACTCAGTAAAGCCAACTCAGTGTTGGCTGTTGACTCTCTTGCTGGACACAGGGATCTGTATTCCTTTAGGAGGATACGCCTACCCCTCTAGTTTGTGTTTTATTTTCTCACTGTGCAGTTGAATTTTAGAGTCCCCACACCCGGTCCCTAGCCTTTCATTCATCTGTTTCAGGGTTGTCAGGATGCCAGGGCAAAGGAGACCCTTTACTTTTAGCTTTGAAGTTATTTAATATGCATTTAAAAAGGATGTTAGATGCTTTTTGTTATTCAAGAGCAAGGTTTATGATAAGAACTGGTGGAGGGTGCTGGTGGAGGGGTTTTCTTGGGGGAGGTATTTTACTTGCATCTGCCAAAGCAAATCATGGGTCTCATTAAGGTTCCAGATCCCTCAACGTTTCATGATGCACAGCAAAGATGTTAGTTGGCATCCACCAAGAGGGGATGGAGCCTGGCATACTGGGTTCAAATCCTGGCTCTATCACATAAAGCTGTACAATTTTAATTAATTATTTTAGTATATGTTACATGTGTGGATATGCAGGTGTGTTTGCCTGTGCACGTGTATAGGAGGGCAAGAAATCAACTTTGGATGTCTTTCTCCCTTGTTTGTTAGCTGGTCCCAGAGCTCACCATTCCAGCTAGACTCTCTGGCCCTGGAGGCTTGGAAATCTGCCTGTCTCTTCCCCAGTTCACCAGTGCTGACCTTAGAAGCATGCTCTACATGCCAGGCTTTAACTGCGGATGCTGGGGATCCTGAGTCAGGTCTTCATGCTTAAGTAGCAAACCCTTTACTGACTGAGCCATCTCTCCAGCCTTTACAGCTGTGTAAGTTAGAAGAACTAACTTGGAATTCTCAGCAAAGTGAGGACACACTGGCATCTGCATCCTAGACTAGAAATGACTGAAGGTTGCTCAGCTACACTGATTGGTGGTAAGCCTCTTAACAGGGCTCATTGTTAGTTACTGTTACCCTTTCTGTAAAGGTGGAGTGGTGACTGGGACAGGCTTGCTTCATGGCCCATTGAGGACAAAGGTGGGAACTAGGCACCCTGAAATTCTTTGTTATGCTGAGGGCTAAAGGCAGAGCCGCATATATGCTGAGCCTTCGTCTTCTCACTGAAGACACCCTTAGCCCTCATCTTTTCCTTTTAATGCTTCCAAAGGGCTGCTACAGACTCAGATTTCGGGAGTAGAAATTCTCTTGCTTTCATTAGGAAGAAGAGGAACTGAAATTGAGAAACCAAAGGAAGTTGATCAGTTTATCTTTCAAGGAGCCAGCTGATGACTAGAATTTGGCCTGGGCCCCAGGTGGTGGAAGGAGAGAACTGATTCCTGCAGGTTGTCCTCTGACCTCCACAGAAACACTGTGGCATGCTTGTGCACATACAAAATAAATAAATAAAAATGTAATAAAAATTCAAGAAAAGTTTCAGGAAGTTAAAAAAAAATCATTAAGTCTAAAGCCAAATAAATCACTTACAAAAGGAGACCAGGCTGGATACACACTACAACCTGGTTGTCCTACCGTGTGTTTCCCATAGATCCTTTGTTTTTGTTGTTTGTTCCTTTTCTTTTTCTTTTTTCTCTTTTGGTTTTTCGAGACAGGGTTTCTCTGTAGATTTGGAAGCTGTCCTAGAATTCTCTTTGAAGACCAGGCTGGCCTCGAACTCACAGAGATCCTCCTGCCTCTGTCTCCCAAGTGCTGGAATTAAAAGCATTGGACACCACCGCCTGGCTGTTTTTGTTGTTTGTAACTAAGTGTAATGTCAAGGTTCCAAAGTCATGCCATAGCCTGGATCTGGAGTTTATTTCATTTTGAAATGTTGGCATTGATTTAGAAGTGATCAGCTAAGGCTGGAAAGGAGAGTCTGGGGGTTAAAACCCAGGCCCTAATCTGCTAAATATGTGCTCCATACTGAGTCCAAGCTCAGGGTATTTATACTTGTTTCTTGAAAACTATGGTTGAAAGTGACCCCATCCCCCTGCCATGGATTGATACATGATGAACTTTAAGTGCAGGAGAAATTTCCTTTCTTCTTTTCTCAGGTAGAATTTTCATGTCAGGTGTGTGATAGTGCCTCATGTCTGTAATTGCAGTCCTCCCAGCACTCAAGAGGCAGAAGCAGGAGAATTACTAGTTTGAGGCTAGCCAGGTCTATAGATCAAGTTGTAGGTTAGTCTGTGATATGTGGTGTAAAAAGGAAGAAGAAAGAAAGAAAAGAATATTAAGACATTGCAAATGTGGAATTGCATAATGAACTCTATTGTCATACTGCTTTGAGAGTTGCAATTGGTGGCTAGTTTATCTGTATACTGCTTCCACACCTCTCCTAAGTACAATGCTATTTCATCTGCATATACTTTTATATGTATTCTCATATCGCATTTAAAAAGTAATTCAGTTTGTGATCCCATAAGAAACCAATGATATCTCAATAGCACCAGATTTAAGCTTTTACCTTATAATTTTGTTTTATGGTGTAATTTTAAGGTCAGATCTAAGGGTGGTTTGTCTTTTAAATAATTTAGATCTTTTTAAAAGAGATTTTAGGTTTTGTTGTTGTTGTTCTTCGAGATAGTGTTTCTCAGTGTGACCCTAGCTGTCCTTGAACTTATTCTATAGACCAGGCTGGCCTTGAACTCAAAGATCCACATACCTCTGCCTCCCAAGTGCTGGGATTTAAAGATGTATGCCACAGTGCAAAAGCGATTTTAAATGTTTATTTTAGTGCTGTGACAGAATTGTACAAACTCTTCTGTGATCAATATTAGAAAATTTCCATTCCCTGGAAAGAAAGCAATCACTTTTCTTCCCCTTCCCCCCAGTCTCAGACAGTTAATCTATTTTCTGTCCCTGAAAATTTTTTTCTTATTCTTTTGCGACAGTGTCTTATATAGGTTTGCTAGGTGTTGAAAACTATGTAGCCCAGGATCACCTTTAACCTCTGGTCCCCCTTGTCTCTGCTTGCCAAGTGTGGGGTACACACCTGGTAATCTGGATTTCCCACTGTTTGTATTTCATATAAATGAGACCACAGAACTTTTATTTTTGTTAACTAAGTATAATGTTCTTTAGGTCCAGCCATGGAGCAGCCTAATCTGTAGTTTATTCCTTTTTGTGGCCAAGTGATGCTGTGTAGTGTGGGCATAGCTCACCTGCTATCCACTCACCAGGGGTGTGGCCAAGTGATGCTCTGTTGTGTGGGCATGGCTCACTTGCCATCTACTCACCAAGGGGGTGGACTTTGGATGTCACCTGCCATCTACTCACCAGGGGGTGGACTTTGGGTTGTTTGCACTTGGCTCTTAGAAGGATGCTGCTCTAGAAGCTCACACACAATTTTGTGTGGAGGCCCTGTTTCCATTTCTTTTGGTTAATGTAGGGAAGAGTGGCCCTGCTGGGTTGTATGGAACCAGCTGAGAAACCTAATCTGTTTTTCTGCTCATGGTGGCACCATGAAAGGTTCTGGTTTCTCTAGTCAGCTCCCCAACAAGTCTTAGATAACCTTCATTCTAGTAGGTGTGAAGTGACACTTCTTTGTGGTTTGGATTTGCATGTTCCTAATGACTAGTCATTTTGAGCATGGCCTCTCTTTTGCCCATTGGCCAGTTGTATATCTTCTCTGGAGAAATGTTTGTTTATATCACATTCATGGAAACATTTTCTTTTCATTTTATTATTTTATGTTTGGGCATTTTGCCTGCACACACACACACACACACACACACACACACACACACACACACATACTACGTGTATGCCTTGTGACCCAGAGGTCAGAAGTGGGTGTGTGATTCTTGGAGCTAGAATTGCAACCAGTTTTGAGCTGCCATGTGGACACTGGGAATTGAACCCAAACTGCTGAACCATCTCTCCAGCCCCCACCCCGTCTCTCTACCTCTTATGTGGTATAGGATTACAGGTGTGAGGCTCCATGCTGAGCATGGCTTATTTATTTATTTGCTTATTTATTTATCTTTATGTGTGTTTGTGTGTATGGAGGTCAGAGGTCAATGGTCAATCTCTCTCTCAGTCACTCCCCCCAACCGCTTTGGCAAGGCTGAGACAGGGTTTTTGTGTGTAGCTGTAGCTGTCTTGTAACTCACTCTGTATACCAGACTGGCCTTTTACTCAGTAATCCATCTGCCTCTGCCTTTGCCCTCTGGCCTCTGCCTCTGAGCACCACCACTGCCCAGTTCTCCCTTGTTTTTTAAGACCAGATCTCTTACTGAACCTTCTGCTTTCCAATAGAGTTGGCTGGTGGTCAAGCCCCAGATAATATATCTGCCTGTCTGCCTCGTCAACACTGGGTTACAAGCATCACCATGCCTGTCTATTTTGTTATTTATTTATTTATTTGAGACAGAGTTGCAACTATGTAGCCTGGCTGGCCTGGAACTCACAGAGGTCTGCCTCACCAGCACTGGGACTAAAACCATTTACCAACATGTGTGGTTGACTTTATTTATTTTAAAAAAATGTGGGTCCTTGGGACCAAATTCAGCTTTTCATGCTTGGACAGTAACCACTTTATTTTTATTATTATTATTATTTTTTTGGTTTTTCGAGACAGGGTTTCTCTGTGTAGCTTTGGAGCCTGTCCTGGAATTCGCTCTGGAGACCAGGCTGTCCTTGAACTCACAGAGATCTGCCTGCCTCTGCCTCCCGAGTGCTGGGATTAAAGGCGTGCACCACCAACGCCCGGCTAGTAACCACTTTAACTGACCAAGCCGTGTCCCCAGACTTCATAGTGACTTAAAAAAAAGTGTGTGTGTGTGTGTGTGTGTGTGTGTGTGTGTGTGTGTGTGTGTAGGTGTGTGTAGGTGTCATGGTGCACATGTGGAGATCAGAGGACAACTTTGTGTAGTTAGTTTTCTCCATTCACCTTTACTTGGGTTCTAAAGCTCAACCTCAGTTCTCCAGTCTTGCATAGCAAGCACCTTCACTCTCTGAGCCATTTGGCCTGCCCCACAGTCAGGCCACAGAAGACAGTGTCTTGCTGTGTAACCCAGGCTGACCTCAAAAGTCCAGATATCCCTACCTTGAGCTCCTTCTGCCTCAGGAACTCTCCAGGAATACCTGCTCAGAGTTCCCTCCCAAAAGTTGTCTGCAGTTGTCTTTGAAGGAAACAGGATCTTTTGTTCTGTGGATTCTTGGCAAGGATTTTGCTGATCTCTTCCTTTTGGTGTGGCTTAACATGTTTTTCAATTTCTTGTATATCCTGTAAATTAGTCATTAGGTTCTGCTCTATTCTTGAATTTAAAATGCTTGAATAGAAGTAGAGATAAGATAGGTTTAAAGCTGAGAACATTACATGCAAATATCTGGGGAAGTGTAATGGACCTGGATAATGCACACAAGAGACAAACATTTATCACCAGGCCAAAACAATGAAGATGCCCATTGGTGGGGAATGTGTAAATATCCAGTGTCATAGCCTCATGATAGAACAAGCCTCAGAGTTGTTAAGAAGAAAAGTACGGACTTATACACAAGTCAGCATGCCTACGCTAATTGAAACATTAATGCTCTGCTGGAATAGGATGGAGCTGAGGATTCTGTGGCTCAGTTGGTTGAGTCCTTGCCTAGCATGCATGAAACCGTGAGTTCCATCTTCAGCCCTGCAGAAACTGGACAAGGTGCTACACACCTGTAATCCCAGCACTCAGGAGGTGGAGGCAGGAGGATCGGGAGTTCAAGGGCCCCCTTTGCCACATAGACAGTTCAAAGACAACCTTGGTTGTATGAGACTCTGTCTCAAAAGGAAACAAATCAAAACAAAACAAAACATGCAGGGTATAGAATTACATGTAAAATATATGCCTTGATGCAAATTAACATGTACATCCAACACAGCTATTGTAGATTTACATTTGCCTGTAGAAGTAAACAGAATGCTAGGAGGAAAGATACCTATCTGGTAGACCTGT